ATATGCTTAAGAAAGGGAACTTAAATTCAACCCTTATTGGTTAGAGGTATTAGTCTAAGGTGCAATGACTATATAAGCTCTCTTGGATACATTTATGGTACACAATGCTAAACATATTATGGCCCTTAAACTAAGAAATATCGTGTTTTTGTTGCATGATTTTACTAGGACAGGGGAAGCCACAAATACACTATAACATATATTGGCTCAAATAAACGCTGAAACTCGCACCGGATCATCCCGCACAACACTAGCAACCTACACCTCAATATAACAATTTTTTTTTAACTAGATTCAATTTTAGATTATTATTTCAAATCTTTCAAATAATTATTTTAAATCCTAGTCCTTTTTCAATATTTATCAGTATACTTGCATTCCTAAATTCAATCCTACCCTATACTTAAATGATGCAATGTCCCCATTGCATATTTAAACAATTAAAGAGCATAAAAAGCAATAATTGGAACAGACTCCCCTTGGGTAGTAGTCGCGAGATCGAATTCTGAAATTTGTGTGGTAAAGCTTGGACTTCTCATATAATGGATGGAAATAATACTTCTAGGCTCTTCTCTTGTGAATGTAAATGTGTCGGATCGAAATAAACCAAACAACCATCTTCAAAAAGTGTATTGACCTTTGCCACAACATGGGAAAGAAACGCCACATCGTGGTGTCAAGTGAATATTCGCGAATTATAACATCGCCACAACATGGTTTAGGGATACGACATCATGGTGTCAGATCAGATGCAGTCATGATAAAATTGAATGTCACAACATGGTGATGATGGCCACGTCGTGGTGTCTTCTCAGATGGTCTTCAATAGTTACAATAATGCATCAACTCTTCTTAATACTTAGGAACATTCTTGACCCTTCCTTTCTGTAAAAATATTCAAAATTATTTTCTTCATCATGTAGGAACCCAACACTTATTCAAAACATAGTCTTCAATAATAATCTTCAAAAATCACCCGGCTTCTGCATCCATTAAGCTCCTTCACTGATTCACATATTTTTCTAACTCTACAAAACTGAAAAATACAGAGTTGTCGTTGTTTATTTTCAACCAAAGTTAAACAACATCAAAATTTAAAAAACATCCAGATAAAGAATAAAAGAAATTTAAAAATACAAAATGCTTATGATATTTGTGATTTCTTAAAGTTTTTTATATTACATGATTGTTTTTGTAGGCACTTGGTGGTCAGAGTTTTCATTCCGATTTACCGGTAGTTATAGCGTGGTGCATATTTGGTTAGGTCGCTTTTGCAATAGATGCTTGTACAATCAAATACTTGATCGGCATAGGATCGTCTTCTCTAATCAAAGTCCAATTTGGCAGTGGAAGCTTCTCTAACCAAATACTCGATCGATTGAGAATCATCTTCTCTAATCAAATATTCGATCGACAAATTATCATCTTCCTTAATTGGATGTTTCATCGGATCTACTATTGATAAGGAATCGACTTCTCGATCAGATCTTAAATCAACAGGGAAGGGCGAGAGGTGGCGATTGAAGATGACCACTTTTGTTCCAGATATACGGGAGAGCGGGGATATTTGGTCATTGTAGTGGAAGACGATGATGAAGAGAATGGTAAGGTGATGTAGGTGGTGGCCATTGACGAGGTAGGGGTGGTCGTTGGAGGTCTCCAGAGAGTTTATAGGTTGAGGCGTGAAGGAAATGAGAGAAATTCGACATCTATATATAGGATCAGATAAGGCGCACCACGCCCTATACCCAAGTGCATCACACCCTAAGGCCATGCAGGTTCATCGGTTTACTGCCACGTGTCGCTTTTCCTATGGTCCGTGTCTCACTTCTAAAAGCTAGGCGCGTCGTGCTCTCAAGTTTGTTTTTCAATAAATCATAGTTTTATTTTTATAGTTATATTTTTATAAGGCTTAGACTACTAAAATTCGTCTAAATATCATAACTCTCTCATATGAATTTTTCTCTCGACTATTTTTATATTGACAAATTCCTATTCACGAGATCTTCAACTATCTTTTAGATTGTTTTACATAATAATCAACAAATTTTAATTTCATTTTCTATGTCAGACACTGTTGTACTGAAACTTCAAAAGTCATAATTTACTCATACAAAGTCAGATCTATGCGTTTTTTATATGCATGTTTTCGCTTTTATGATTACTACGAATTTTGTTTAGATTACTTAGACTAATAAAAAATCTATCTTCTGCATATAACCTCATGTTTGCAGCGGAAGATTAGTCGGTGCGCGAAAACTGGTCAGGAAACCCTCGTTAAGGAGGTTCCCTTTCCAAAAAAAAACCTATTTTTTGCATACGAGTTATATTTCTGACGTTCTTTGTATTCACACATAGATATCCACGATTACTACAAGTTTTCTTTAGATTACTTTAGCTAATTCCAACTTTATTTTTAGCGCATTTTCTTGTAGGGAGTCTCTAAAAGATTTTTAAAAAAATAATAATTTTCTCATACGGATTTTGTTTTTGGCGTTGTTCGTCTCGTTGGTCTTATATCGAGGAGTACTACGATTTTTTCCTTTTTATTACTTTAGCTAAAACTCAACCAATTTCTATTTCGTTAATTACGACACACATTTCTATGCACGGTTGATTTTTAAAACTTAGAAAAAACATAACTCCTCCATACAAAGTTAGATTTTTACGAAATTTATATTTTTGGAATCGCATTGACATTTACTTTCCGAATATATTATTATTATATTATTATTATTTATATATAATGACGCAACTTTTTGCGCACCTAATTTTTATTTTTTTTGGCTAATTTAACTGTATTTTCGTGTATATGGGAAGACGTAATAGTGCGCTTTCATTATAATTAGACAAATGTTATACTTTTAGCCTATTACATCTGTCTATTTCCAATATTTCTATAGGCCGTTGGTGATGTATTTCCTTCTGCTGTCACACCCTATGTTAGTTTCCTTTTTTCTTATAGCTCGTACACATAAATATAAATGTTAATACCACATTTTGGGATCACTACTCAGGGATAAAAAGTAAAACGGCTATGAATAGTTATACCTAATTTTCCATACACCTTGGCATGGGGTTTTTCAACTCCTTTAGATATTCTAGGCATTAGTGTTTCCCATATCCTCTTACCTTACAGTGTTAGCAATAAACATCTTATAGATCTCTTTGGTGCCTTAGATCGTCTCTTTTCTAACTAGAGATCCTCCTTCACCTTTCTATAGAGTGGTTTGTATGACTTCGACTTTTCCATACGAGACTTTGCAACCTAGTCTAATATAAAACCTTTCGTAGGGCATGTGGGAACTCTTTAAGTCTTCAATGAACTCATCAAAAGAGTTGGTCAATGAGTATATGATAATGACAACTCTAACCTCCTGACTAATGACATATTTTATACCCTATAATTGGCCAATAATTATCTTATTATTTGTAAATGAGGAGCGACTTCCTCTCCAGATTGTAGCTTACATCCCCTTAGAATTTTTAGGACTCTAAAATGTTATTGCTTAAGCAAAACATTATACATTTCATTGAGTTCTTTGACTATGTTGTAGACTCAATGTGTATGAACTTATGAAGCTCATGATATGTGGTATCTATCATAAGGCAAGTAGCATCCTTTAAGACTTGCTCATATGAGAAAAGTCTATTGGGATCGACTGGTAAATCCATGTGTGTTTTTTCCTTCAATCACATAAAGCTTCTTTGCAAATCTGAGTAGATCTCTTAGATTTTGGATCTATATGGGATAAGTAATCACGATGAGCTTTTCGTTATGGAGAAGACCACACAGTGCAAAATGTGAAACATAAGATTTGTGTTTCAAGACATCTATAAAATTTAAACATTTTATTAGTGTTTTGATAATAATCCTTATAAAATAAATTACCCAATTTTTATTTTATCAAAATGATAATATCCATATTTCAGTTACATTCTTAAAAAGGGATGTCGTAATTGCAAATGAAGTTATTTACGTAAGTAAAACTCTTTACTAATTCTAGTCATTATGGAACTCTTGGATCTGTTCGGGATTCATTGACATATAATGAAGTTAATATTTGGCGTGTTTAATCCTTTCACACTTGTTTTTTTTTATTGTGATTGGAATGTCGTATATCACAAACCAACACAGTAAATCAACCATTTAAACATATGTGTCATTTGATCTAAGACTCTCGGGTATTAAGAAACTTCATTTCATATTTCTAGTGTCCAACTTACGCATTTGGCTAATATACTTTCCCACATATGAATACCATCAAAATAAATATGTATTTTATATGGGTAGTGTATGATTTACATTATGAAACATGTTTTTGTTTATTTTAGTTTAAAACTTCTTTTGACAAAAATTTTAAACTCTTTAAAGTACTCATAAGGTACCTATACAAGTTGATTCTTGTTAAATATCATTTTAACCTATCTGTTGACAAAGTTCATTTTAACATATCATTAAAATTATTTATAAAATTCACTCGTCAAAAAATTTAATGATATAATACGTACATAACAAACAATATAAACCATGTTACTAACCACACATATTCAGATGACTCTTTTGACCAAACAAAAAATATATAATTGTCAGCAAAGTTGTTTACTTTTTTTTTTTAATCCAAGATGTTTTTCTTACTTCATACATAATATATAGGCCATCGATTCAACATTGGCTGAAAAGAGGGATAAAATCTCAATTAAGTAGTTTAAATTATTTTATCGATACAAGTGTTCCATATTGATACAATCTTTATTTTGAAACCATCTCTATATTAACATTAACATAGTGGTCGAAAGCAATGTTGTCAAGCTTGTGATCCTATGTAGGATTGTTTTTGAGTTTGCAAGATCGGGATCGGGAGCGGGATCCTAAGATCCCACAAAAGAAAATATAATTTTAATTTATAATTTTAATCATGAAAAATATTTTAAACATTCAATTTTTCGTTTAAAAGTTATAAAAACTTCAAAATATTAGTTATAAGTTACACCACAAAATGATAAACGGTAAATTGGTAAATGATAAAAGACATAAAACGATAAAAAAAAAATTCATTTGCAAAAAAATAAAATCAAGGGAAGGTAGGTCGGATCGGATCTCGATTCAACGATCTTACCTACGATCTTACGATCCTACTCCAAATATGACCTGTTTATGATCCGGATCGTTTTTCATACCTACAATCGTATGATCCTACGATTAAGATCACGATTTTAACAACAATTGTCGAAAGAGTACCATGGTGAAGAACCTATTATTATGAGTAATCATCATAATTCATTCGTATACAAAAATTTGAGTTGATTGGTATTACGTATATACAAAAAAAATTTCAATATGGTATTTTTTGTATGTTCATATACTTTACTACCATTATACATAATTTTTAATATTTGGAATTTGTAGATCTATCACCGTATAATATTTGTTTTTCTTATTACTTCTTCCTTTGGACAATTACCGTACACGCACCGCACCTATGGGCCATGGTCATGTTTATTTTACAAAACCGATCTTCACATCCTCCCAGATCTAACACACTGTTTTTAACACACAGTGGATCGATCTGGGGCAACTCTTTCTCCTTCTCTTTCTCTGCCTCTCCTCTCCCAAATGCCTTCTGATCACAAGTATACTACTCTTTAACATCACATCGGATCAATCGATCGAATCATTTATCGAATTAGCAGCATTTAATTCTCAGATCTAAGGTAATTGTCACGCACCTACAGAATCTAGGTTTCTTTTTTGTTGTTTATGAAGTTGCGATACGATTGAATTGTGAGTTACTTGATTTGTTTAATCGATTGATTAGAGGTTGGGGACGAAACGGAGCGAAGATGTTGACGAAGTTTGAGACGAAGAGTAATAGAGTTAAAGGTCTGAGTTTCCACAGCAAAAGGCCATGGATCTTGGCTAGTCTTCACAGTGGTGTGATCCAGCTATGGGATTACAGGATGGGCACTCTCATTGATCGTTTTGACGAGCATGATGGCCCTGTTCGTGGCGTACACTTTCATCAATCACAGCCTCTGTTCGTTTCGGGAGGTTTGTTGGATTTCAATTGCATTGATATACTTGAAATGCTTCCGAATCTAAGGTTTTTTTATTGATTAGCTGATATATTCAGGATATAATGTTAGGTAATGATGATCTATTAGACGCTTGTTATTTGTGTGGCACATTATCTCTATTTAGTAGATTTAGAGCCTTTCGTGTTCATGGAACCGATCTGTCCATAACCATTAGTCCACCAGTTTAAAGCTATGGAAATCTGTCTAAGCCCCTTCTCTAGTAATGATGATCTGAACTTCACATCTGTGCGATTTGGGACACATGAAGCTGTTTTGTTGCAATGTTCAAATTCAGAGTAACATGGAAATGATTTGGATCTGGTCATGTACATTAGATTTGATGCAATGCATATTAGCAGTTGCTGTTTATTACGGAAATTAAGCTATCTTGGAAAGTCAGAATCATCTTGTTCTGTTTTCTCTGTGCATATTACACTTATGCTTAGGTCTTCTTTATATTGGTTAGTTCGTAGCCTTATGTATGCGTGTAAGAATATTTAGGCATTCCTTTTGTATATGCAGGCGATGATTACAAGATCAAAGTTTGGAACTACAAACTGCATCGGTGTTTATTCACGCTTCTTGGCCATCTTGATTATATCCGGACTGTTCAATTTCACCATGAGAACCCCTGGATTGTTAGTGCTAGTGATGATCAAACTATCCGGATATGGAACTGGCAATCCCGTACTTGTATTTCTGTTTTAACAGGACACAACCATTATGTAATGTGTGCTTTGTTCCATCCCAAGGAGGACCTTGTTGTATCAGCATCATTAGATCAGACTGTTCGAGTTTGGGACATTGGTGCTCTGAAAAAGAAAACAGTTTCCCCTGCTGATGATATCCTTCGCCTCAGTCAAATGAATACAGATTTCTTTGGAGGAGTTGATGCTGTTGTGAAGTATGTCTTGGAGGGCCATGATCGTGGAGTCAATTGGGCATCATTCCATCCCACTCTTCCTCTTATTGTTTCTGGAGCTGATGATCGTCAAGTCAAGATCTGGCGCATGAATGGTATGGTGTCTTTACAGGGTAGTTCATTTGTTAATATGCTTTAAATTTCCATCTCTTGTGTCATACATTATTACCAAGATACTTTGGGATCACAAATCTCACCTATCAACTTTATCTTTCAGATACCAAAGCTTGGGAAGTAGACACTTTGAGAGGTCACATGAACAATGTATCATGTGTTCTTTTCCACGCAAGACAAGACATCATAGTATCAAACTCAGAGGACAAAAGCATACGTGTTTGGGATGCTACAAAAAGAACTGGCCTTCAAACATTCCGCAGGGAACATGACAGGTTCTGGATACTCGGCTGTCATCCTGAAATGAATCTTCTAGCAGCTGGCCATGATAGTGGCATGATTGTTTTCAAGCTGGAAAGAGAACGCCCTGCTTTCTCTGTTAGTGGTGATTCCCTCTACTTCATAAAAGACCGTTTTCTTCGGTTCTATGAGTACTCCTCTCAAAAAGACACTCAAATCCTCCCAATCCGTAGGCCTGGTTCTACCACCCTAAACCAGGGCCCTAGAACCCTCTCTTACAGCCCTACAGAAAACGCGATTCTTATATGTTCAGAAGTAGATGGTGGGTCCTACGAACTCTACATTGTTCCTAAAGATAGTTTCAGTCGAGGCGATACAGTTCAAGAGGCAAAACGTGGTGTCGGGGGATCTGCAGTTTTTGTAGCTCGCAACAGATTTGCAGTTCTTGAAAAAAGCACCAATCAGGTGTTAGTGAAGAACTTGAAGAATGAAATCGTGAAGAAAAGCGCCCTTCCTGTTGTCACAGATGCTATATTCTATGCGGGTACAGGCAACCTACTTTGCAGGGCAGAAGATAGAGTGTTCATCTTTGACCTTCAACAGAGACTGGTTCTTGGGGACCTTCAAACATCTTTTGTAAGGTATGTTGTTTGGTCAAATGACATGGAGAGTGTTGCTTTACTTAGCAAACATTCGATAATAATAGCTGATAAGAAACTTGCTCACCGGTGCACCCTTCATGAAACAATCCGTGTCAAGAGTGGTTCGTGGGATGATAATGGTGTTTTCATATACACAACACTCACCCATATCAAGTACTGTTTGCCTAATGGAGACAGTGGAATCATTAGGACACTTGATGTTCCGGTTTACATCACGAAAATATTCGGGAACACAATCTTTTGCTTGGATCGAGATGGGAAAAACCGCCCGATTGTTATTGATTCTACTGAATATATCTTCAAGCTGTCTCTTCTGAAAAAGAGGTATGATCATGTGATGAGCATGATAAGGAACTCAGAGCTATGTGGGCAAGCCATGATTGCTTACCTCCAACAAAAAGGTTTCCCAGAAGTCGCCCTTCATTTCGTGAAAGATGAAAGAACTCGTTTCAATTTAGCACTTGAAAGTGGAAACATTCAGATAGCTGTTGCTTCTGCTAAAGAGATCGATGAGAAAGATCACTGGTATAGATTGGGTGTTGAGGCCCTTCGTCAGGGCAATTCTGGAATTGTTGAATATGCATACCAAAGGACGAAAAACTTTGAGAGGCTGTCTTTCTTGTATTTAATAACAGGAAACTTGGATAAATTGTCCAAAATGATGAAAATCGCTGAGGTGAAAAATGACGTTATGGGACAATTCCATAACGCGTTGTACTTGGGTGATGTTCAAGAAAGAATCAAGATTTTGATAAATGCAGGTCATTTACCACTAGCATATGCTACAGCTCAGACCCATGGGTTGACCGATATTGTAGAGGAACTTGCTGTCAAACTTGAAGGGAATGTCCCTTCTTTGCCAAGTGGCAGGTCTAGTCAACTTTTGATGCCCCCGACCCCCGTCCTATGTGGCGGTGACTGGCCGTTACTAAGGGTCATGAAAGGAATCTTCGAGGGTGGTCTTGATAATGTTGGGAAGGGTGGAAATGAAGAATATGAAGATGCTGCTGATGCTGATTGGGGCGATGGTTTGGAGATTGGGGATGAAGACAACATTCAGAATGGTGATGTCACTGTGGTGTTGGATGATGACGAGGCGCCTGAAGAAAATGAAGAGGGTGGTTGGGGTCTTGAAGACCTTATACTTCCAGACATCGAAACCCCGAAAGCCGCCACCTCTGCCACCCGTTCTTCTGTGTTTGTGGCCCCCACCGCCGGTATGCCCGTCAGCCAGATTTGGGTCCAGAAGTCATCTCTCGCAGCTGAACACGCGGCGGCCGGAAACTTCGACACCGCCATGCGGTTGCTCAGCCGGCAGCTTGGCATAAAGAACTTCACACCGTTGAAATCATTGTTTCTTGATCTTCACATGGGGAGTCATACTTTCCTGCGTGCTTTCTCTTCGGCTCCATTGATCTCATTGGCCATCGAGCGTGGCTGGAGTGAGTCAGCCAGCCCTAACGTCCGGGCCCCACCTGCACTCATGTTCAATTTCTCTCAGTTAGAGGAAAAACTCAAAGCTGGCTACAAAGCCACTACTACTGGTAAATTCACTGAAGCCTTGCGTCTTTTCCTGGGTATTCTCCATACCATTCCCCTGATTGTCGTGGAGTCGAGGCGAGAAGTCGATGAAGTCAAAGAATTGATCATTATAGTCAAAGAGTATGTTCTTGGTCTACAAATGGAACTCAAAAGGAGAGAGTTAAAAGACAACCCTATTCGCCAACAGGAGCTGGCTGCATACTTCACTCACTGTAACCTTCAACTCCCACATCTAAGACTTGCACTGATGAATGCTATGACTGTGTGCTACAAGGCGGGTAATCTCATCACAGCATCCAACTTTGCAAGGAGGCTCTTGGAGACCAACCCAACTGCTGAAAACCAGACAAAAACTGCCCGTTCCGTTATGCAGGCTGCTGAGAGGAACATGAAGGATTCCACACAGTTGAATTATGATTTTAGAAATCCGTTTGTTGTTTGTGGGGCCACTTATGTCCCGATTTACAGGGGGCAGAAGGATGTGTTGTGTCCATACTGTAGTTCCCACTTTGTTGTTTCTCAGGAAGGGCAGCTTTGTACTGTTTGTGACCTTGCGGTGGTGGGATCAGATGCTTCTGGTTTATTGTGTTCTCCAGCTCAGATCAGATGATTTAAAAACTTTCCCTGACAATCTTGCCAGCCTCGCTTCTTCAGGTATTACTCTTAACATATATAGCATCCTACTTCCATTTATCTCTACTACAGTGAAAATCTTTTTTCTCATTAGGATATATTAGACTTTAAAACATCCAGTGAAACTGAAAATGCTATGTGTATATATATGAATGCGGTTACTATTACTGGGTAGATTTTCTGAAGTACAATGCTGTAATAGGAAGAAAAATGAAAGTAAGATGCTATGATAAACACATTAATAAAGGTATGTTGCTATTTCCTTGCATTTATAACCCTTTTGCTAAAGACAACCAAACCACTTTGCACCTGTTTTGATCTAGCAGTGTATTTTCTTTTCCCTTTTTAATTTGTGCTTGCATTGATAACTGTTATTTTTTTGTGGTCCTTGTATGTCTTGCTACATGGGTTTCATAGTGAGGGCGTGATTGTAATTACTGGATTCCATTTGGGTCGAAACTTAGTATCAGTCCTCAATTTTGTCTTGAATGACATTGATAACATGAGATAAGTTTATGGCAATAATACAAAAACCTTACCTTGCCACAGATATTCATTTAAATTCTTTATTATCTACTGAGAGCAAGTTTTAAGTTTACGATTACAGTTGAATCTCAAATTCTGTTCAGTGGCTTGTTTGGTTGCCAAATGAACTTGGAATTGAGTAGTTACGATTCCTTTAAAAATCCATGTTTGAGGGATTTCATCATTTCTACTTTACTGGTTGATAAGAACTAAAAACCTTTTGGTCTTTTCTTTAAAAGACCAAATTTCCCTCTCATAAACCCATCAAAACACCAACACGTTCCATTTTTTCATCGTTGGATCTGTGATTAAATACCATTCTACCAACTAAACACCCCTTCATCTTCTATAGTTCTATATGGCTACGCCCTTGTCTCGATCAACTTCCTTACTTTTTAAGCTTGGCATGCAAAAGTGACAGAGTTTGATATTAATTATTGTTGACTTGTTTTGCAGTTTAAATGTGTCTGGATTCCCAATTAGAGTTGTTGCTGCTATATATATATATATATATATATATATATATATATATATATATATATATATATATATATATTATCAGGAAGCCCACAACAGAGTAGTAGATTTTGTTGTTATGGATTTATTAGTAGTATCTCTGGAGAGGTTGGTTTGGGTGGGGTCTTACTCAATATCATCATGAACATGGCAATTGGTAATTGGCAAGGAAAAGATACACAGCTAGTGTCAAGAAAAAGGTATGGTATGGTATTTTACTAGTATTGAACATTCATGCCTAGGTGGTTGGTTATTATAATATTCAGATTTAATAATACACTACTTATTTTTGTTTTTCGCTTTATGTTTGTTGATGTTGGAATTTGTTGAACTTTGCTTGGTGTCGTGTCTGTTTGGTCACGAAGCCATATCCTTCTTCTGTTTTTGTGTTTGTATGTAGACGGTTTTGCAATAATATTTTCAGGACTTGAATGTTTTTCACAATCCCATGTCATGTGCGTTTCCTTCTTGGGTTTATGTATGGTAGTTGCCTTTGTTACAAAGGACCCACACTAGACAAGTGTTTTAGGGCTATATTTTCATACTTGTTTCATCTTTTTGGGATTGCAATTACATTTATGGTCATTCGATCCAATTCCCTGTGTTTTAACTTTAAGCTGATTTTTTTAGGAAGCTCTCAAGGACATTTTTTGCATGCGTTGTATCATGAATACAATATTTTTAATAGATCAAATTCATCCAACCAAAGCTCTGCTTCTTCTATTCATATAATCGTATATATATATAAATCAAAAATTTTAAATTGTCAAAATCTTATTGGAACTACACAAATTGAACTACATGGAAAGTTCAAAAATGTTTTACAACTTGAACGACGGTGTTTTGGCAAATGTATGGTGGACATCTATTCCATGCCAATATAGATATCAAATAAAGTTAAATGCACATAATAAAAATGTAGTTTGTATCAACTGTCATTTTAGATAGATACTATATTTTTACATGTAACTATAACATAATTTAATTTTACATGAAATGTCAATGTACTTGCAATTCTCGTCTACTCGTGATTCTTTTATATCATAGTTTATGTGTTTGTAATTATGGTTTAATCGTAAAACCATATAAAATGAACAAAATTAGTCATTTGAAGGATGAAAACCAGTAAAAAATGCTAAAAGAAATTGGAAAACTGTAACTTAGTTATGTTACATTGTTCGGTCAATTATAGAGACAAAGGTTGAGATACAATTCAAAATGAACCACCTAATTTCGTCAACCATATATGGACCGATCATTTATGTAATTTACTCTAATTTAAGTAGTGAAGATTATTTATGTGTCTTTGACTAGTTCTATTCTAACAATTATTTTTTGTTTTAGCTCATTACTTTCTTTCACTTTGGTAATGGAAAGTGGAAATTCTTTCGTTTGTTTAGAACCTACCGATTAACAATCACAATATCATAGAAATTTGCCAAATTGTTTACATTATATCAGAAGATACGTTACAGTTTGTATAAAATAAAAAGAAAACATATTTAATTCATTACTGTCAACTATAAATAACTAATGATTTTTTTTATTGGAAAAATAGACCCATGTCTCCGCCAAATAAGAAATTAATAGTTTTAATGTATTTTATTTTTCTTAACTATTATGATGCTTTGAAAATTAAATCAGAGAAATTTTAAAAGTTGTGTTATAAATACCTCATTCACTCGTATAAGTAGCCACTTCAAAAGAATATATGAACACCATTACACTCACATGGAGGAGGGTTGGCATAAATAGTCATATATGAACACCATTACACTCACATGGAGGAGGGTTACACTAGTACACAACATTTGGGTTGGGGGGGGGGGGGGGGGGGTTTGGTTTAAGCATAGAAAATTGCCAATTTTAATCACACTCACATTTTGAAAAAAAAAAAAAAGGATAAATGGTACTTTTGAGCGTCTCTATCAATTGATCTTGTATGTGGAACAAACAATGAAGGTGATGTCACGACTTTAGTCTTAGGCATCACTTATAAATTCTCAATTCGACCACCAGAACAAGTTACAAGTACTCTTTCGCCTATTGTGGACAAAGGTACCAAAAGGTCTGTTGAAGAAAGCATGACTACTCAAAACATTCTTTTAATAATCAACCATTTATATTAAAATATGTTCTTTTTAATTTAATATACCATCAATTTATAAGCCTCCTCAGAAGCTTCCTAAATTGCTTTTGTTTCTTTAAGCGTAGAGTTGTAAAAAAGTTGGCGGTAGGCACGTGCTTGAGGGCATCCGCTGATCCTTTTACAAACACACCAATAATTGATATGTCCAAAAGGTATGCAACTCTACAAATAATTAAACCGCTCTATAACTCAACTATATATATATATATATATATATATATATATATATATATATATATATATATATATATATATATATATATATATATATATATATATATATAGAGGTTCCGTTGAGATTAAAAATAAAATAGAGATCTCGAGATTCATTATCAGCCACGTATTTCACATCTACCGCTCTAACCCTTCGGCGTACTGGCGCGGCAGGTCTGGTGTAATCATAAATGATTACACAGTGCCACCCGTTCATTTCTCCTCCGCCACCATCCCCACCACCGTAACCGCCACCACCACTACCACCACTTCTGACACTAGTCGACCTCACCATTGTCACATCCGTTACTTATATCACCGTCACCTCTGTCACCACCACCTCTTCTGCAACTAACTATAATAATCATTTATGATTATTCAATCTGTGAACAGACATATATGTATAATAATTTATGATTATGCATATACGTATAAACATGTATAATCCTGTATGATTATACCTCTCTGCCATATAATCATTTATGATTAGACATACATCATTGTTGCTGGTACGCTGGAGCATTAGAGCGGTAAATACGAAATATGTGGCTGAGGTTTAATCTCAAGATCTCTACTTTTTTTTTTATTCTCAAGTGAACCGTCCCATATATATATATATATATATATATATATATATATATATATATATATATATATATATATATATAGTGAGATCCGTTGAAAATTAATAGTTTCTCGAGAACCCGAAAACTAAATGTGAAATGTTAGATCAAAATTAGCTCACTAAATGCATGATCGTCATTTTACCAATCTCATTTAATGTTTATTTTTTTGTGTTATTATAAATATTAAAAAAAGCTTAAAAATTAACATAATAAATTAAAATTTTGGATCTTATTATACAGATAATAATTTTCGATTTTTTAAAAAAATGCAGATTTTTAAATTTTTTTAGAAAATATGATTTTTTTTGTTAGAAACAATATATTTTTAAAAATAAGTAAATAAAAAAAACTGAAATATTTAAATAAAAAATTTAATTTTTTTAACCAAAAAAATCAACTTTTATGTGCATATATGCATATTTTTTTCAGTTACATATATGCAATTTCTTATACTATAATATCCGTAAGTAAATCATATATATATATATATATATATATATATATATATATATATATATATATATATATATATATATATATATATATTAGTAATCTATAAACACAATAGTATGAGTATTTTATTCGGTACAAAATAAAATATATAAAAACAAAAAATGCTATAAACTTTCAAATTCTTTTCATGTCTTCGTGTCAAGATTTCGATATTTTTTTCAATTTATTATTTTTCACCTCTTCAATATTTTCCACAAAATTTTCCAAATCTACAACAAAATTGGAAAAAAATTGATTAATGCAAGAACACTCACAAAAATGCATTTTTATATATCATGTAAGATTCACATGTGATTATATCATGTAAAATTCACATGTAATTATATAATGTGATATTCACATATGATTGTATCTATTAAGATTCAAATGTGAAATTCACAAGAAAAAAAAATTAACGAAGAACACTCACACAAAATGCATGTGTGCATATAGACAAAATTCATATGTGATTCACTTGTAATTTATATGTGATTCATATGTGATTCACTTATTATTTACATCTAAATCACATGTAATTTGCATGTGAATCACATGTAATTCATATGTGAATTACATGTTATTCACATGTAATTCATACGTGATTTACTTGTGAATCACATTGTAACACTCGATTTTATTGCACATTTCGGTTTAGACCATTTGGTTGATGTATTGTTTGCAGAATTGGTCCTTGGGGGAATGAATGGTCAAATTTGGGAAAGTTGGAGTACACTGGGCGTACTTATGAAGGCTGGCCATGGAGCTCATCCACATACGCTAGGAGTATGTGGAGTACGCTTAGCGTACGTGAGCATTGTGGAAACCCTAATTTTAGGGCTTATACCCTATATAAACCATAAGATAGCCTCTTTTTGGCTAATTTAACCAACCTCCATACCCTTGAAAACCTTAATTCGTTCATTGGCCTTTGTGTGGTGCTTTTGAGCTCTTGAGAAGCTTTTGGTGGGTGTTATGCATCTTGAAGTAGTAGAAGAAGAAGCTTGAAGACTCATTCTTTGGAGGAGAGCCTTGAGATAGATGATCTTGAGTGTCCATTGCGAGTTTCGATCTCCAATGAGCACGGGGTTTTTGCTTTTTCGGTCTACCGGGGATGCGAGTTGGAGATTTTCGGGGTGTCCTTCCAGATAGATTTGATTCCTATCCCCATGTGGGAAGTATGCGTGATTGTAGGGATGGATTGGCTTAGCCGTTTTGGCGCCATGATCGACTGTGAGGGATAGCGGGTGGTGGTTCGAACGCCAAATGGGGGAGAACTTGTAGTATATGGTGAGGGCGCCAGGCTGGGATCAGGGTTTTGTTCGCCAGCCAGGGCTTGACAGTATATACAACATGGGTGTGCCGGTTATTTAGTGTACGTGGTGGATACCCGGGTTAGGGATCAACCCTCAGTTTCAGAGGTCCCTGTAGTTAGAGAGTTTACTGACGTGTTTCCGGAGGAGTTACCCGGAGTGACTCTGGAGAGGCAGGTTGAGTTC